TTTTGGGTTCTGTTAAGTGAGGTTGTGATGTCCACTGCAGAAGTCTGGCTTTGCGTGTAAAAAGGGCAGTAGCAGAAGGCGCCTCTATTCTCTGCAGGGTAGTGAGCGAGGGGGGGGTGGGAGTCCCCGAGCCTATGGAACTGTGTCAGAAAAAAGTAATCCACAGAACTGAATTATTCCAATAAGATTTAAAAAGTACAAGAAAATATGAAAGCTAAATGTTAACTATTTCTAGTTGACATCCTTTGCAGCATTTTTTAAATATTTATTTATTTTTATTGGAAGTCAATTTTATAGAGAGAAGGCAAAACAGAAAGATCTTCATCTGCTGGTTCACTCCCCAGGTAGCTGCAGTGGCCAGAGCTGAGCCGATCCGAAGCCAGGAGCTTCTTCTGGGTCTCCCCACACGGGTGCAGGGTCCCAAGGCTTTGGGCCGTCCCCTGCTGCTTTCCCAGGCCACATGCGGGGAGCTGGATGGGAAGTGGAGCAGCCGGGATTAGAACCAGGCCACATATGACATGTTGGCGCTTACCGACGGAGGATTACCCAACTGAACTATCATTACCCCCCGCGGTGTTTTTATTTACATTCTGTAAAAACATTTCCCTTTCTCTTTATGCTTTTTTCTGTTACCCTTAGAAATCAGCGTAGTTTATTGTTTTTGGTGTGTTTTTAATATATTTTAAGGTGTATCTGTTTATTTGAAAAGCAGAGTTAGAGACTGGATGGCCTCAGGTGCTGGGACTGTGTGAGCTGCAGCAGGAGCCTGCACTTGGCTGCAGGTCCCCCATGTGGGAACAGGACAAGGGCCATCCTCACAGCCTTCCCAGCTGGATCAGAAGCTGCACTGCCACACTGCCCCGCCCTCCATAGGAAAACTATGGCTCATGGCCACTTTCTATTCAGCTTCTTGCTTTGGGACCAGTTCAGAATCAGTTCTGGAGAAGGAGCGGGCCCCCCATGCAGCCCTGGCCACGCCCTCTGTCCTCCTGCCACCTCAGACAGGCACTGACTGCTAGTGGAGAGAATTTTGACCTTGGGCCACCAGGGCACCTGCCTGTATGACCTCGGCGGCCTTGTGTGTGGGCAGAGGGAGGGCAGGGCAGGCAGTGGCATTCAAACCTCTCCCAAGACCTTCCCAGATAAACCTTGGGGTAGTGTCAGCATCTGGAGCCTGTTGCCTGCCCACACTAGAACAGGCCAGGTAGGTCACAGCAAGGAAGGGTCTGCGTTTGCTAGCGGTGGGCTGAAGGGTGCAGAGCTGGGGCAGGGGCCTAAGGACGGGCAGTGGGACCCCGTGCAGGTGAGCTGCAGCATAGCAGCCATGCCGGGCACAGGAAGCCGGCTACCTGGCTGCCCCGCAGGAGCCTCTCTGTGCATCTCTTCCTCCCATTTGTGTAGAGATCCACCCTGTGGGACCTGTTTGGGCCCAGCAAGCGAGTAAGCCAGTGCTAGCACACATCAGAGGTGCCCATCACTGGCAGAGCCTTGCTTCGTCCTGGTGGAGGGTGGTGAGCAGTGAGACTTGCTCCCTCCCCACCCAACACCACCATGCGACACAGCCCGGAGATTGTGAGGACGAGCCGTGGCAGTGGTGGACACAGGCGAGCTCCCTGCGCTGTGTGCACGTGTGTATGTGTGAGAGAGCGGGCGGGGGGGGGGACTGTGAGGACGAGCCGTGGCAGTGGTGGACACAGGCGAGTGCCCTGATGAGTCGTGGCACACGCTGCTTTGGGCCAAGATCGTGTAGTGAGCCCCAGCACCGTCTCCTGCTGGCTGCTCGGCGTGCCCAGTGGCAGTCGGCACTATGCAAGCACTTCTCTGCTGTTGTGCAGGGAGCGTCTGGCGTGGATGACGGGCAGGTGGAGTGTGCTTCCAGCTGGGTCAGGGCTCAGGCCTGCTGGCCACGTCGCCTGGGTCAGAGGACCTGCCTGAGAGCCACAAGGCCGAGGTGCCCTGTATGCAGCCCTGCAGCACGTGGACTTGGACCACATGCTTGGGGCTGGCCCTCAGATCAGCAGAGCTGCACACACAACAAGTCCTCCTCTACACTGAACCTGAACAACACCCGGGTCACTCGAAGGTGCCTTTGTGCTAGCAGGAAGGGCGTCCCTGGGAGTGCTCCACTGCCCTTGCCTCTATCAGCCCTCTGCATCTCCACACTTGCACAGAACTTGACACTGTGGCCTTGGGCTCCACCCTCACTCAGCTTCTCTCAGGTGTGTCGGAGATGCGCTTTTCATTGGCTGGAAATGTAGGTTGCTGATGCTTCTTAATCATATTCATTCCTCTTGGGTTATCACGAAGCTTTGTCAGACAGGAAAAGCCAGCAGGGCTGCAGTTGAGGGACGTAGCAGCGAGCATCCTGCCAGAACCTGCCTGAGCCTGTTGCCTTGGGTTGGCAGTGCCAGGTGCTCAGCACAGTGACACTCCCTGTCATGACATCACTCCGTGGATGCAGGAACTCAGCTGCTCCGTTACAAAGCCCACAGGAAATCCGGGCTGGATGTTGGGAGCTGTGAGAGCGTCTGCATCTCACCTGGAAAGGAGATCCAGGATTGCTCGGAAAATGCGACATGAGCTGGGTGCAGGCTACAGTTAAACTGGAGGATGTTTCACCCACCTACCCAACCTCCAGGTTCAAGAGGGGAAAATTGGGGGAGAAGGGGCAGTGTCTCAACAGGCTAATCCTCCGTTTTGTAGTGCCAGCATTCCTTATGGGTTCCAGTTTGTGCCCTGACTTCACTCCAGCTTCCTGCTTGAAAAGCAGAGGAAGATGGCCCAAGTTCTTGGGAACCTGCACTCACACGGGAGACTCAGAAGAAGCTCCTGGCTCCTGGCTTTGGATCAGCTCAGCTCTGGCTGTTGCAGCTGCTTAGGAAGTACACCAACAGATGAAAAATCTTTGTAAATCTGCCATCCAAAAAAAAAAAAATCTCCAGTTTTTGCCCCCCTCTTCCCTTCACTTCTTATATGCAAACCAGAGTTAGAAGGTGAGAGCTTCCAGCCTCGGCCCGCTCCCTGAAACAGCCAGGGCTGCATCAGGCTGGGACCCTAGTAGGGTCTACCCCGTGGGTTCAGGAAGGGGCCTAGGTGCTTGTCCATCCTCTACTGCTTTCCCAGGTGCGCTAGCAGGGAGCTGTGTATCAAGCAGAGCGGTCGGGACTGGAAGCAGTCACGCATGCAGGATGCCGGTCTCACAGGTGGTGGCTCAGTGTTATGGTTAGAAAAAGCAAAAGGTGGTTGCTTGTCCTCGCTAGTGCCACGAAGCACCGAGCGCCCTGTTGTGCAAACCCTGGAAGATAGATCCCTCAGCCGTTCCAAGTGCAGAACGGGGGACATGGTTTGTGAACAGGGGACATGGATGAGCTGGGCATGCTGTTGGCATCACACGGCACAGCCAGACACACTGGGGCGCCGTGTTGTCACCAGCCATGTTGGCCTGAGGTCTTGGGGCACATGCAGGTTCTCGCTCCTCTATCCAGCATTTCCTACAAGCCAGAGAAAGTATGTTGAGGCTAGGTGGCAACTAGATGACCTGCCAGAGTTGCAGTTGGCACTAGGGGTGGAGGTATGTGGCAAGGAGAAGGGGGAAGGCACCAGCTCCCGTGTGCTATTTCAGGAGGTGCCACGTGGCCAGCAGTGTCCACTGATGCTGTCCGCCACAGTTGAGCCGTTGATGTTCAGAGCCAGTAGGCGTTTTGATCCCACCTCAGGCATGGCAGTAGAACATGGGTGAGCAGGGGCAGTGTCCACAGAGTGAACAGTGACTGGCCTGGCCACTGAGGGGTGGGAGGCTGTACAAGCTGGCAGCTCACTCTGGTGCGCCAAGCCCCCGAGTCCCTGGAAGTGAAAGGGGCCAGCCAGAGAGGGCGACCCCTCCTCCTGAGGGAAGAGGCCAGCTTGTCACAGTGGCTGTGCCTTGCCTCCTGGGAAGAAGTGGCCAGCTGACACTGCCAGCTTTGGGGGCTGGCTGTCCTAAGTAGGGGCCGGCTGCTGTGGGTCACTGTTGTGGGTTCCCCAGGCGTGCAGCTAGCTCAAGGCTGCCACTGGCTCAGTGGGTGTTGCGTTCAGTGCCTGCTGCCCTGTGCAGACCCGGTGGGGGCGTTAGCCTGGGTCTGGCCCTTGGCTCTCACCAGATGGAGTGTGGTTAGAGCTTGATGCGGGCTGTCTCACCTCAGGTCCAGGTGACAGCTGTGGGATCACAGCTGGTGATGCAGAACCTATCGTGTAGTCCTGAGATGCTGTTTGGGCGAATGGGGGTGAGGGTGGAGAGAGTACACCAGCAGATCGACCCTAGGGAATGGTGCAAGAAAGCAGTGCTGTTACTGCTCGGCTGACGAGCTCCTGGGTAAGATCGTCCTGGGCGGGCACTGTGGCATTGCATGTGAAGTCACTGCCTGTATGCCAGCACCCCAAATGGGCACCAGCTCTCCCCATAGCACTGCCTCGCAGTCAGCAGTGAGAGGCAATGGCGGCAATGGCAGCAATGGCTGCAGATGGCGGTAAGATAGGCTGTGTGGTTTGGCTCACCTGCGAGACATTCTAGAGGGGCACATTCCCGCAGTCTCCCAGCTGGCGCCCACCCGTGAGCCGAGCGACCCCCAGCTCTGTAGATGACATAGTACTGTGGAGAACTGGCACACACCATAGGGCTCAAGCACCATCAGCACGTGCCAGGGATGGCGGCGGGGGCACGTCAGTAACTGTGGCTGTTGCTTGCCTCATGAGCCAGGCAACAGGATGTCCTGAAATTGTACCTTTGTCTGAAGAGGTAGAACGGGCTGCAGGCTCATTCGCTGGCTCTTTCCTGCCAGCGCAGTTGGCGACTGTCATTGCCCAGCCAGGGGCAGAGCGGAGGCAGTGTAATGGACAAGGGCTTGAGAGGCCTAGAAAGCTTTTGGAGGCGGAGGTCTCGGGGCAGCCGTGCTTTGTGTCCCCTATGTGCTCAGAGACGGGCTTTGGTTCTGTCTTGCTCACGTGTGTGTGCGCCCTTGCAGACACATGAAGATTCATGAGAAGGACCCCAATGGCTCGGCAGCCGCAGCTCCGCCATCCCCTCTGAAGCGCAGGCGGCTGTCCTCCAAGAGGAAACTGAGTCATGACACCGAGTCGGAGAGAGAGGACACAGCCCCGGCTAAAAAGGTCTCTCCTCCCTGCCTGACGTCCACCGTAAGCTCTTAAGCTGTGCATTGCCACAAGGGCTTTGTGGCATGTCTGAATCCCTGTGTACCTCCTTGGCAGCACCCTCTGCTGAGCCCCCGGATGCCCTAGAGGTCTCACCCTGTTTTCGGGCACTTTGGAGGACTTGTTATCCCTGGGGACTCTTTTTTTTCTTCTTCTTTTTTAATCCATCCCACCAGTGGGAGCTAGGTGCCCTGTGTGACTGGGTGTCCTGCGAGAGGCCAGCTGTGACCCTAGCCCCGGGGTCGCCTCCTCCCTTGGCACTGGTCTGGCTTTTCTGAGGCCGAGCCCTCTGGAGGCTACCTTCTGACTCTGTTTCCCTTTGTCCCAGATGCTGGAGGACGGCCAGTCGGGCGAGGTGGCCGGGACGGCTGACGAGCTCTTCCACTGCCCAGTGTGTTTCAAGGAGTTTGTGTGCAAGTACGGGCTGGAGAGCCACATGGAGACGCATTCGGATAACCCACTAAGGTAAGGGGAGTGCACACACTGCTCCGTGAAGCGCCTTCTCTTGCCACCACTGCCAGCCGCTCTCCAGGCTCTTTCGATCCAGGTGATTGCTGACTGCATACAAACCTGTGAATCAGACGGGCTCCTGGGTGCTGCACCTCTCGCACCCAGCAGAGCTGGACCTCAATGCAGGGCCCATGGCTGCACGGGGGGCCTGTGAGGTTCCAGGGAGGAAGCTGCTGCTGCGGCTCCCGCCTTTCCGGGCAGAATCGTGGGGGATGAAGCAGGATCCCCCCTTCCTTTTCAATATTCATCCGGCAGAAAGTCCTGGGTTCTTGAATGAGCGAGTGGGTTTCGAATGTCTCCCCCCCAGGAGCAGACGCGTGGCCCAGCCCGTGAGCTGCAGCTGGGGCCACACATCCCTCGTCACATGGCTGGGCTTGAGGCCCGGCTCTGCTCCTGGCCCCAGCTGCCTGCCAGTGCACGGACCCCACCACCCGCATGGGAGACCTGCAAAGATCCTTTGGCTGTTTTGGGGAAAACTCAGTAGATGGGAGATAGCTCTCACACATGCTCTCTGAATGAATGATAAGTAGACATTGAAAAGGAAGCAAGCCACGGGGGAGCTTGGAGTAGTCATGTTGGACGGCACACACAGCTGAGGCCAGCTGGGGCATCGGCGGAGCTGGAGACAGTCAGGTGGGGGTGGGATGCCAATGATGTGGTTCCTTCAAGCCAGATCAGACGTCCTTATCTCTACTGGCAGGAGGCATGGGCGAGGGAGCGCCACACGGAAGTGGCGGAGATGCACTCTCAGGGCTGCGTGCTCTCAAGACATGGCCTGATGCCTGGGAGTCAGGCTGCAGGCCCGACCCTGCTCCCGTCTGCTCTGTGTGTGAGGAAGGCTAGGACCCGGGTGCCACCTGGGGAGATGAGGCGACCCTCTCAGAGGTGCTGGCTGAGCAGCTGCCCCAGGGAGAGAACCCTGATGTCCTCCACATTAACAGAGGCAGTCACTCTGGACAGGCAGGATGTCATGGGTGACCTGGTGGCAGATGGGTCCTGCACGTCCAGCAGGCAGAGCGGGGCAGGGTGGGGATCTTCGTCGCTGGCTCGTGGGGATGTCCTTTGCTGGCAGGAGGCGTGACTGAGGATGGTCTGTGGGTGGTAGGTGCTGACTTGCATCTACCGCCTCTCCTTGCAGCACTATACATTTCAACTAACTAAGGTATCTTAAGTGCTCAGGAGGTGCGCTTGCATCCTGTGCACGGGGTGAGCCAGTAGGCCTCTGCCTGGGCGCTCTCGTGGGATGCGGTGGGTGTCGGGAAGCAGAGGGATCTGGTCACAGAAGGTGGGTGAGCCCATGCTCCTTCCCGCTCTGCCATCCCACATAAAGGCCTGCTCTCGGAGGAAGCCAGCCTGTGGAGGACTGTGACATCTGCGACATGGGCTCCTGGTAGAGACCACCTGTTCACCCAGAAACAAAGTAGGCACCAGTCCATGTTCAAACCCCAGAGGCAGCAGAGCCGCAGGGAGATGCTGTCAGTTTGGAGGACAGCCAGTTCTTAACTCGGAACACCTGTTGGCCTCTCCCTCTGTGTGTGAGCACCCTTCCCGGCTCGCAGAGGTGCTGGGCCTCTCTCCCAGTTCTTCTGGGTTCTGTATTCAGAAGAAAGAAGAGGCAGGTGGGGACGAGAAGGGTGCTGGTCTGTGGCCCCAGAGGCCAGGGCCACAGTGTGCAGAGGGCAGGTGGCTGCAGGAGGACCTGTTGGTGGGGGCTAGTGCCATAGCCCAACAGGCTGATCCTCCATGTTCAAATGTTAGCACCCCTATGGACCCGGGTTCATGTCCCAGCTGCTCTACTTCCATCCAGCTCCCTACTTGTGAACTGGGAAAGCGGTGAAGGAGACACAAGTGCTTAGGACCCTGTGCCCACGTGGGAGATCCGGAAGAAGCTCCTGGCTTCATTCAGACTGCTCAGCTGTGGTCACCGCAGCCATGGGGAGTCAGAAAGCCTCTCCTTCTGTCTGCAAATCTGCCTTTCTATTATAAAGAGATAAAGCTTGAAAGAGAAGCAAAGAAAGAGGGAGAGAGAAATGGAAGCCAGCAAAAGGAATAGTGCTTTGTCGATCATGCCAGTGTAATCAAAGTGGAGTCGGTGTAGCGACTGAATGACATTCATACCCAGACGTTCTTGGTGCCCACAGGACATTGTATCCCTGTGCATGCCAGACCCTTGGGTGCTCAAGTGCCATCCACTAGATGTTCGTTGTATTTGAAACAGAAGACATCCTCTTTGTGGGCCTGCTCCTTGAATGTGCCCACCAGGACTGGGCCAGGGGAGCCAAGACATAGGACTTTTCCTGAATCTGCCATGTGGGTGTCAGGGACCCAGCCACTTGAGCTGCCACCCTGTGCCTCCCAGGGTGTCATTAGCAGGAAGCTGGAAACTGGAGCAGAGCTGGTTGTCACCCAGTACTGTTTGGGGAATGATGACACGTGGGTGGGGAGCGATGTGTGTTAATCACAGGTACATTTTTACCCCTAAGTAGTTGATGTTCAAATGGGAGATCTAGAAATGTGGAGGCAAAACTGGCCCAGAGGTCCACTGCAGGGCCCACTGAGCTGGCCTGGAGGGGGTATCCACCTGTTAACCCCCCAGTGGGCTACAAGGAGGGCATGTCCACCTGTCACCCCCCAGTGGGCTGTGAGGGTATGTCCACCTGTCCTCCCACAGTGGGACTTGCTGATATTCTCAGGTTTTCCCTGGGTTTCCTGGTGCTTTGCTGGGAGGTGGCGACACTGGCTTTGATCATCACTGAGGGTGCACTTGCAGATCTGTGCCAGGAGTTAAGATGAGGCCACCTGCCGGGCCCCCTGCTCAGAGCTGTCCTGTTCTTCCCCCCTCTTCCCAGGTAGGATGGATGAAACCCACTCATGCCCACATCCCCAGGCTGCCCCAGGCTGGCTGGCTTGTTACAGCAGTGAAGGGCAGGGTGTTGGGCCTGCCAGAGCCCTGTGGAGGGCCGTCACTGCTGCTCACGGTAGGTGTGAGCCGTGCAGCTGTGGCAGTCAGTCCCCAGGCTGGGCCACAGAGGAATGTCTGAGGCGGGCGGGAGACCAGCAGGAGAAGCTGACTCCTTCTGGCCCCTGGAGGCAGGGCCGGGAAAAATGAAGCATGAAATCCCTTTGAAAAAGGAATGCCACTGTCTCCTCCTGGAGTGGGCTGGATGGAGAGGGAGGTGGGGGAGGCAGCAGCAGCCAGGAGCAGCACGCTCCTTGTTGAGCCAGGGTCTGCGGATTCGCCGAGGGCCGTGCCCGCAGCCTGGCCGTCTGCCAGCAGCTGCCCTCAGTGCCCTGTGTGGCCGAACCTTGTCAAGCCAACTGGCTGTGGCCCAGCCCGCTGCCTGGTGTCTCTGTGACCTCGGGCCATAGGGGCTCGGTTTCTCCATCTGGAAAACAGATTCAGAGCCGAGTGAGAGCGAGGGGGCCCAGCGCTCAGACTATAACCAATCTTGAGCCAGTGTCGACATGCAGGGTTCACTGTGGCCAACCTGGGGAAGCAGAGATGGGGGTGGAAGTCCAGGACCACTCGCGAGCTCTGTGACTTAACTGAGACATGCTGGGAGTGGGTTCTTGCTTCAGTTGTGGGAGGCCAGCCTCTAGCTCGCCTGGGACACACTGGTGTAGACCCGCCATGGGACTGTGCTGAGAAGTAGGCCTTGCATGGCCAGGGGAGAGCCTGCATGACAGAGCCGTGCCTCGCTTTCCTCAGAACGCTCACAAAAAAGACCTGGCTGCTGTTGGACTGGCAGGCTCCTGGAGCTATACTGGCATGGCCTTTTATGTTGATAGGGGACAGCAATCGGCCTGCTACAGCTGTGGACCAAATCCAAGTGGCAGAATGAGCGGGCCACTACGATTTGGGCTGTTCCCTTAAGCCTTGGGTGTTGGAGTCTCCAGGGCAGCAGATTCCAAAGGCGCTGAGCCCCTGCGCCCCGGGCTGCGCATCAGAGACGCCCCAGTTAGCGCTGGCTGCCTCTGGGTCAGGCCAGCACCTTGGAAGGTAACAGTCGGTCCTGCTGGGACCCATCCCGACACAGGTTCTGCACTGCCACTCACTGAGCCGAACAGTGGGCATGTCGGCCGTGTGCACCTCCACCCCAGCCCAGAGTTGGAAGGAGGGGCAGGGCAGGTTCCTAAGCCTATGTAAGCAAAAGAAGGAGGATGCGTAGTCTCCGTGCTTCCTGTGAACAAACAGCTTCGTGCTTTGGCCTCACCCAGACCACAGGCGGCTCTGAGCAGGGTGCAGGAGCGTGGTGGAGCTGCACCGAGGGCAAAGGAAGACAAGGCCGGAGCTGGCAGGCTGCACTGACCTGTTGGGCCTCTGCCTGCTTGTGCACAGCCCAGCGAAGCCCCGGGCTGCATCTGTGCCTGAGCACGTGCGGCTAAGTCTAGCCAGCCTGTTGTGGGCGAGAGCCACTGTGCCCGGGGATCCAGCCACGTGTGTGTGAGAGAGAAATGGGAAGGACTGGCTCCCGGAGTTTCCTACAAGGCCTGTGCCTGCCAGAGGCCCCATGCCCAGCCACTAATGTCATGGTGACTTCCACACTGTGCCTGTGGAGCCACCTGTTGGAGTGTGATCAAAAGGGTCCGTGGTTTCTTTCACTTTCCGGCTTCAGTTTCCATTTGGAAAGATTTGCCACATCGCTGATACAGAGCCACCCCTGGTGCTGGACAATGCAGAGGCACCCCCTCTAAACCTCCCTCGGGCACGTTGTCCCAGCCTCTTGCCAAATGAAACTGTCCAGCCCTCCCTCTCCTATGACTGTACCGTCCAGCCCCATCTATAAATGTTTCACAATTGCACCCTTGATGGTTCCTGGCAGAGCCAAGCTACCCCCCAACGCAGGGGTGAGGGGAGAACCATGGGGCACCACTGGGGCCCCAGCTGACAAGCTCAGGCAGGGTGTGCGGGTGGCACAGCATGCGGGCAGGTCTGCAGTGGCCTCCGCTGTCCTTGCAGAGGTGGATAGAGCAGATCTCACAGCCAGGTGTCACCCCCCACCGGCCAGAGGAGTGCTGGCTGGGGCCCAGGCGTGTATCCCAGGTGCTGGTCTGCCATGCTAGTGTCATGTAAGGTCTAGATGAGTGCCCACCAGACTTGGTCTTTGATGTGGTCTGCCACCTGCCAGCAGCATGTCTGAGAGATGCAGGCCTGCTCCTCGCTCCACAAGTGACACAGTGACTGCCGAGGAAGCTCATGTGTACACCACAGCCGTGTCACTAGCTGTGCGAGTGTGAATTACTGCACGAACCCCCCACTCCTTCGCTCTCTGCACAGGGAGAAAGGTGCTGCAGCTGCGGCTCTTCCTGCTACCTCTAGCTGGGCTGTTGTCTGAAATGAGTGTGCAGAGATGTGCTCGGTGCCAGCGCAGCGGAGCCACACAGCACTGCCAACGCTGCATGGTGTGGATGCAGCCAGGGAGGAGGAGGAGGGCTCTGGGCCTCGGTGCCCTGGGTGCAGGCAGGAGCCTCACCTCCCAGGGCTGGCACAGACAGCTGCCATGCCCTGCAGCACCCCTGAACTACTTCCAGTTCCTATAGCACCCATGGGCCCCACTTGCCCTAAATAAAAATCTTCCACCTCTGTGAAGTAGAGGCTGGGACGTGATGGTCCCTGCAGACCTCAGCCAATCCCACCCCCTTCCTGGAGGCTCCTAGTGGGGCAGGAAGCATGCCAAAACGTTACCAATGATTTCTTAATCCTGTGAAATATCTGGTCAGAGTTAAACTCGCCCCATTCGGGCATCTCTGTGTAGGATGTGCGGCCAGATTTGAGCCAGGGAGAACCAAGGTCAGGGAGGTACAAGAAGAGGAGCTGTCTGCAGGCCAGGATGGGACAGAGGCAAGTCGCCGTCCCCTGGGCTTGTGCAGCTCCAAGGCTGGCCCTGTCCCAGCTGGGCCACGCTGCCTCATGGTTGATGACCTGGCTCTTGGGGGCCTTTGGCAAGGATTCGTTCCTTGGGTCTGACCTCCAGGACCTGGCTGAGGGATTAGCAGGGGAACAGCATCAGCTCCAGGGAGAGGAGAAGGGAGAAGGAGCCACATCCTCAGGACCCACCCCAGAACCTTGACCATACATGGCTGGGTGACAAGCGTCCTGCCCGGTGCCATGTGTCAGTCAGCAAGAAGGATGGCAGGCACTCTGTGGGTGAATGTTAACTGTGAGTCTGCAGAGCGGTGCCTGAGCCTGTGGGGATGGCAGGCACGCCCTGGATGGTTCAAGTGGGTTAGGTACACATGTCAGTGGACAGGATGGCGTAGCACATGGTACTGTCTCACAGGGCACATCTGCCGCCAGCACCATGCCGCTGGGACTGGGCGAAGGGACGGCACACTTGGCTCTCCGGCAGATGGTACCTGGTGCAAGTTTGCAGGCTGTTGGCAGCTACGCAGTTGGGGTGTGATCTTCCCTGGGGATCTCGGCCAAGATGCAGAAGTGGACCTCAGTAGGAGCCAGGATGCTCAGTGCACAACTCCTACTGGTCAGGAGCGCAGCACTGTGAAGTGAGGACCAGGTGTGGCACGGATGGCCTGCTTTGCTCTTTCTCCCTTTCTTTTTTTTTTAAAGATTGATGAGTTGTTTGAAAGGCAGAATTGCGGATTGAGGCAGGAAAGCAAGCTTCCATCTGCTGGCTCACTCTCAGGATGGCCAGGGCTGGGCCAGGTCAAAGTCGGGAGCCTGGAACTCCATCCAGACATCCCACACACAAGTGCCAGGGCCAGGCGCTGAGCCGTCGTCCACTGCCTCTCCAGCTGCATTAGCAGGGAGCTGGATTGGAAGTGGAGCTGAACCAGGACCTGAACTGGCACTTGATGGGATGTGGGCAGGAACTTACTGTACTGCATGGTGGTGTCTCAGAATGGACATGTGTTCTGTCCTCGTGTGTGCAGCTGGTGGGTGCCAGTCACGGAACCTCAGTGCTTTCATCTCTGACATAAGGGCTGTCTCACCCACCTGCATGGGAGCCCGGTTTCGTTTAGCAGGTGCTACCAGTCATGGTCTTAGAGTCGCCACTTGCCTCTGACTCTTCCTGGAGAACTCGGGAACGTTCTATTCGATTCCAGGCGAGCGGAGGTGCTCCGTCCGAGTGCTGAGGGCTGAGCTCGTGGGGCCGGGAGGAGCACGCAGGCCTCAGCCTCACGCGCCACCCCAAGCCGGCCTGCTTCCTCCCGCCTGGCTCCCCACGACGCCCAGGCTCCGGGTCTCCCACCGGTGCTGTCTGCACAGACAATAGATTGCAGTTTCTCAAAAGCAGGCTAGATTCTGGCTAACAGAGCAGGGGGAACTAACCGAGCTGCTTCCGGGCACCCTGTCCCTCCTCCAGATGTGACATCTGCTGTGTCACCTTCCGTACACACCGTGGGCTGCTGCGCCACAACGCACTCGTGCACAGGCAGTTGCCACGTGACGCCATGGGGCGGCCCTTCATCCAGAGCAACCCCTCGATCCCTGCTGGCTTCCACGACTTGGGGTTCACCGACTTCTCCTGCAGGAAGTTTCCCCGCATCTCGCAGGTATGCAGAGCGGCCGGCTGACTGTGGTCTCCTTTGGGTGGTGCTCTCGTTTCTGGGGCTGAGTTTGCTGACAGCTTTGTGACTGCTCCACACTGGCTCTGGGATGGGGAACAGTGAGGTCGCTCCGCATAGCTCTGGTGCGGCCGTTTCATCTTCGAGGATCGGCAGCCCAGCGGTCATGACAGAGTGGGACTGGCAGCACCGCTGACAAAGCAGTGCCAAGATGACTTTGAAGTGGTTTGGCTGTGGTCCGCTTTGGGGTTTCTTTGCTTCCAGTGTTTAACAGTGGTTAGCTAGGAGATGATCCATAGGGGCTTGGTCAGGTGCCCAGGCTCCTGGCTCCAGGGGCTCACTTGTAACACACGTGCATGCCACCTAACCAGGTCTCTGAAGCAGCTTCCACGGCACCTGTTTGCTGTGTCCGCGGGCCTGCTGCTTGGCCGGACTCGTGCCCTGCCGAGGGATCCCTGGCCGTCCCGTCCAGCCCTGTCTGGCCCCGGGTGAACCAGAGGCTGCCTCCGGGCACCCTGACCAGCAGCCAGCCCTTGCCCCACCCCCTCTGGTGACCACATGCCAGTCCTCACGCCTCTTGCTTTGCTCTTTGCCCGTGGGTCCCACGCAGGCCTGGTGTGAGACGAACCTGAGAAGGTGCATCAGCGAGCAGCACCGCTTCGTCTGTGACACCTGTGACAAGGCCTTCCCCATGTTCTCTTCGCTGACCCTGCACAAACAAACCCACGTGGCCACAGACCCGGGGCGGGAGAAGCCGCCGGCCAGGTCCCTGCCCGACGACACCCTGGACCAGAAGGTCTTCCTGGCCCTGTTCGGTCTGCAGCACGCCAAAGATGTACGGCCTGCGCCCGCAGAGGAGCCCGTGCCCGACGACAACCAGGCCATCCAGCTGCAGGTGCTAAGGTGCCCGCTACCTCAGGAGCCCGCCGGCACCCGGGTGCTGAGCCTGTCCCCCTTCGAAGCTACGTCCCTAGGCGGCCCCCTCACGCTGCTGCCGGCCGCCAAGGAGGGCCTGAAGCACCTGTCGCTGCAGCCCTTCCGGAAGGGCATCATTATCCAGCCGGACAACAGCATCGTGGTCAAGCCCATCTCGGGGGAGTCGGCCATCGAGCTGGCTGACATCCAGCAGATTCTGAAGATGGCGGCCTCGGCACCGCCCCAGATCAGTCTTCCGCCGCTGGCCAAGGCCCCGGCTGCACCCCTGCAGGCCATCTTCAAGCACATGCCTCCGCTGAAGCCAAAACCCCTGGTCACCCCGAGGACTGTGGTGGCTGCCTCCACACCCCCGCCGCTCCTCAACGCCCAGCAGCCCTCGCCCGGCTGCTTGAGCCCCAGCCTCCCGCCGCCGCCGCTGAAGCTCCTCCAGGGCACGGTGGAGGCGGCCGCCCACGCCCACCTGCTGCAGGCCAAGGCAGGGGCACAGCCCCACGCAGCCGCACAGCTCTTCCTGCAGCAGCCGCAGCTGGAGCTGCCCAGGCAGCCCGAGATGAAGACGCAGCTGGCACAAGACAGCCTCATGGAGGCCCTGCTGCCCCTGAGCGTGGAGGCCAAGATCAAGCAGGAGCTGACCGAAGGGGACCTCAAGGCCATCATGACGGGGCCCGGCGGCAAGAAGGCCCCCGCCATGCGCAAAGTGCTCTACCCCTGCCGCTTCTGCAACCAAGTGTTCAGCTTCTCCGGCGTGCTGCGCGCCCACGTGCGCTCTCACCTCGGCATCTCCCCCTACCAGTGCAACATCTGTGACTACATCGCCGCCGACAAGGCCGCGCTCATCCGCCACCTGCGCACGCACAGCGGCGAGCGACCCTACATCTGCAAGATCTGCCACTACCCCTTCACCGTCAAGGCCAACTGCGAGCGGCACCTGCGCAAGAAGCACCTCAAGGCCACCCGCAAGGACATCGAGAGGAACATCGAGTACGTGAGCAGCAGCGCGGCCGAGCTGGTGGACGCCCTCTGCGCGCCCGACACGGTGTGCCGGCTGTGCGGCGAGGACCTCAAGCACTACCGCGCCCTGCGCATCCACATGCGCACGCACTGCGGCCGCGGCCTGGGCGGCTGCCCCAAGGGCCGCAAGCCCTTCGAGTGCAAGGAGTGCAGCGCCGCCTTCGCCGCCAAGCGCAACTGCGTGCACCACATCCTCAAGCAGCACCTGCACGTGCCGGAACACGACATCGAGAGCTACGTGCTGGCGGTGGACAGCGGCCTGGGCCCTGCTGAGGCGGCGGCCGCCGAGGCCTCGGCGCCAGGGCAGGAGGCCGGCGAGCGCAAGCCCCTGGCCGCCTTCCTGGAGCCGCAGAACGGCTACCTGCACGGGGGCCCCAGCCAGCCCGCGCCTCCGCGCGTCTCCATCAAGCTGGAGCCTATGGGCAGCTTCGCCATGGACTTCAACGAACCCCTGGACTTCTCTCAGAAGGGCCTGGCCCTGGTGCAGGTGAAGCAGGAGAGCATGTCCTTCCTGTGCTCGTCTTCCCTGGCCACTTACGATGGCCCCATGGAGCCCATCGACTTGTCCATCCGCAAGAACCCTAGGAAGGCAGCCAAGGACGAGGCCAAGAGGCCGGAGCAGGAGGCCCCAGGCGTGGAGCAGAGCTCGCCCTGCCCCGCCCCACTGCCCGCGCCGCAGCCGGGTACCCTGGAAAACCCGGCAGTGTCGGCAAGCACCCTGGAGCCGCACGCGCAGCCGGTGCAGGCCTCTGTGCAGCTCGCCCTGCCGGTCTACTCTTCGGCCCTGGTGGGCAGCCCCACGCTCCTGAGCAACCCAGCCCTCCTGGGCGGCGCCGCCTTGCTGCGGCCCCTGCGGCCCAAGCCCCCACTGCTCCTGCCAAAGCCCCCTGTCACAGAAGAGCTGCCTCCACTGGCCTCCATCGCGCAAATCATCTCCTCCGTGTCGTCCGCCCCAACCCTGCTGAAAGCCAAGATGGCAGAGCCTGGCCCCGTGGGCTCCGGGCCCATGGGCTCCGGCCCAGTTCCAGGCACTGGCGTGGCAGTGGCCGCGGACAGCTCTGCGGGCTGCGTGCCCAAGGTCACCCCAGACCCCACCACCGCCACTGAGAGTGCGAGTCCCAGAGAAGCTGGGGACCCACCACCTGCAGCTAGCAGCCCAGAGGCATCGTCACCCTTGGCACAGGAGGCAGCGGGCTCCTCCAAGAAGAAGGGCCGGAAGAGGGGGGCAAGACCCCGAGCCCAAGCCGGTGGCGGGGTAGACCTGGATTCCAGCGGCGAGTTCGCTAGCATCGAGAAGATGCTGGCCACCACGGACACGAACCAGTTCAGTCCCTTCCTTCAGAGCACAGAGGACGATGCTGGGGAGGCGGCGGCCAGCACCCCCCCAGACCCCCAGGGGCCCAGCGACGAGGAGCAGGGCCGCACCGCCGAGGACAAGCTGCTGAAGGCCAAGCGGAACTCGTATGCCAGCTGCCTGCAGAAGATCACCTGCCCACACTGCCCGCGTGTCTTCCCCTGGGCCAGCTCCCTGCAGCGGCACATGCTCACGCATACCGGTAAGCAGGCTCCCCCACGGGGGCTGGCCTCCAGCCCCCCTCTGCAGCTCGGGTCTCCCTGTGTGCTCTCTGGATCCCTGAGCCTGGGGGGCCAAGTCCTCGACACCCTGCCGGTGGAGGGCAAGGACAGGGAAGCCAGGCTCCATGCTACAGGGCTGGGACTGGAGGAACCATCTGCTTGTGCTAGGAGAACGTGTGTCCGGTGACCTGGCCCTGCAGACACCTCCCCCAAGAGGCTCCGGGCAGCGAGCTGCTGCAGACTGAACGTGGCCTTTGCCCATCCACCAGGCAGGGCTTGCTGAGAATCGTGCCAGGGCTGGTAGAATCACTTATGTAGACCAGAGACCCCCCCCAGGATAACCCCCAGGATAACCCCCAGGCTAGAGAAAGATATCCCCAGGTTCTCAAGCATGTCCTCTGTGAGTTAAGTTTTGAAAAGAAGTTTAGGGGATAAGACACACTTTTTGAGTAATTTCACACCAGGTACTTCTAATATCCAAAGACCCTACACGTTCCATCTCACTTTTTTTTTCCCCCTAAGGTTTCATTTGTTTATTGGAAAATCAGAGTTAGGGAAAGAGAGATTTTTTTGTGTGAGCTGATTCACAGCCTGGATGGCCACTGTGGCCAGGGTGGGCAAGGCGAGAACCAGGAGTTTCTGCTAGGTCTCCTCCTGGTTGGCAGAGGCCCAGGTCCTTGGGCCCAAAGTGGAGCAGCCAGGACGCAAGCCGGGACTCGGGGGACTCAGGCAGGCAGCATGGGCCAGGCCTTTACTCCCCACACCATCACGCTGGCCACATAATCCTAGTGTTTTGATTACCGCGGGGTTAAGTCATTTGAACCAAGGATTAGTAAGTAGAGAGATTTACTCTTTGGCCAAGTAGCTCCCGTTGTGTGGTACAAACTTGGCAGGTAAAATGAAGAGGACAGTCCGGGGGGGATGGTCGGAAGGCAAGTGTTTGGTGCGGAGTCAGGGTGCTGCGTGGCTCGGGGTGCCCACCCTGTCCCCTGCAGAGGGCCTGGTCCACGTACCGCCTCTGCTTCCCATCCGGCTGGCCACTGACATGCGCCATGGAGGGCAGCCCGGGCTGGCCCCAGTGCGTAGGCCTTGCTACCCACGTGGAATCGGGATGGAACCCCTGGCTCCTGTTGTGTAGGAATTCAGAAGAGTGAACCAGCAGATGGAGGATCTCTCTCTGCCTTGCAAATAAAATGAAAATTTTTATGCATGGTTTCCGCTTATTTGTATACCAAAATAAACTCATCTAAAGCCGCTCTTTCACTTTTTGGAAGCCCTGTCATACAGGGCACCAGTTACATTTTAATGTAAATGATAATTATTTTTTACTTTTAAAATGTTATCCTGTTTTAAATATTTATTTTACTTGAAAGTGTCAGACAGATGGTTGGGAAACAGAGATCTTCCATCCACCGATTCACTCTTCAAATGACCAAGGCAGTCGGGGCTGGGCCAGGCCAAAAGCAGAAGCCTGGAACTCTGTCCGGGTCTCCCACGTGGGTGCAGGGCTCAAGCTCTTGGCCCATCCTCTGCTTTCCCAGGCACATTAGCAGGGAGCAGGAATGGAAGTGGAGCAGCTGGGGTTCAAACCACCACCTTTTTCAGAATAGTGCTTGCGAACTCCTAACGAATGTCACTGAGCAGTGGCCACCCTGGGCCACTCAGGGAGGCTCTGGGCAACTGGGGCTTCCTGGGCGAGCTGGCACTGTGGAGGGAGTGGCCAAGGAGCTGCCTCCTGGGCGAGCTGGCACAGTAGAGGGAGTGGCCATGCCGCCACCTTGTCAGGAGCTCCACAAAGGCAAAGCAAGCTTGCAGTCAGTGCCAGGCCGCACGAGCCCCCAGCGACATGCAGCGTGATGCAGGCGGGGGGAACTCGCCTCCCCAGGGCAGGACTTCTCCAGATTTGGGCCACTGTATTCTTTCCTTCACGGAAACCTAAGCATGGCCAAGGCTTCGTTCCCATGAGGACTGCAACTCAGATAGGAAAACACATCCTCTGGAGATGGCTGCCTTTTGCCATCCTCCTCCGAGCACATGGCTGTCACCTGCAGGTCCCACAGACACATTCTCAGAAGGCAGATGTGCTGGCAGGCACTGCCCTTCGTGCTGGGCGTGTGCTGTCCTTCGGAAGCCTGGAGTAGCCCCAGTCTCTTACTGAGAATCCAGGCTGGTTTTTGTGTGTTTGTTTCAAGGATTGATTTATTCATTTGAAAGTCAAAGTTACAGCCGAGAGATCTCCATAGCCTGCCTTACTCCCCAAATGGCTTTGGGCATCCAGTGCTGGATGAAGCCAGAAGCCCAAACTCCATCCAGGGCGCTACCGCTGCTGGCTGCAGCCCAGGCACTCAGGCCATCGCCAGCCACTTTCCCAAGTGCATTGGCAGGGGCCCAGATTGGAAGTAGAGCAGCCAGAATGCAAACTGGCACTCCTACAAAGTGGTTCACCCTTCTGCCTCGCCGCCAGCCTCCCTTCTGAGCTTGGTCACTGCTACTCAAACCCCGTGTTCCTGGGAGGCTGTTCAGAGCACGTCTTCCAGGTAGGCCTATCCATGCCTGCCAGAAGGAATTCAAGTCGGACCCCCTCGGCCACCCTCTGGCGAGGAAGACGTAGCCAGGGCCAAGTTCCCACTTCCAGCTGCCATATGGTCAGTGCACATGGTCCACTCGTCCCCTCATGCCCCTCGTGTGGAGCTAGGAACATGGCGTGAGGCAGGGCTTCGTTCTTGAGAAGCTGCCCGCTGAGGCCTGCCCCACCTCCCACAGGCTCACCCTATGTAGGGTGCTCGGCTCTGATCCGTGCCTTGTGAAAACATGACCTGTCCCTGGGTGGCTGGGCCATGCCCCCGGAAGCGCCCCCGGCATTCCAAGCACACCCTCAAGAAGGGGTCTGTGTGCTGCTGCAGCCACCAGTCTGGGAAGCTGTCACAGAGCAGCGGTCTGCCACCTTTGCTGCTCGCTGGCCAGCCTGCTGGAGCAGTGTCCCTGTCGGGCTCAGTGTCCCTGTCGACCTTGCCGGTGTGTCTTCCCCTCCACCCAGCTGTTGGGCATCTGAGCAGCCTACCAGCAAGGATATTGAGCCACTTCCTCCTGCCTGCACCCCGTTCTGGGAACTGCTGGAGAAGGAAGCTGGCATGGGCTCTGCAGACACCTGCCGTCCGCCCTCTGCTGGCTTCGAATCTCCCTCCTGGCCAGAAACTACCCATGGCGGGGACCTTCCTGGTTCCTTCGCTTTGTCGCCACCGGAGGAGACAAGGGCGCTCTGTTTCTGCCTCTGCCCTTGTGGCTAGCGCCAGCAGACGCAGCCAGCTCGTTCCGGCATCTCTCCCCGTTCTCTTCCTCCTTCCCTTTGCCCCAGTGGTGTGCCATCTGAGCTCCCTCTGCCAGTCCACAGTTCCCTGTTCCCTCTCGGGGCGTTGGATGCCTTTCCTCGCAGCTCAGGGCGCAGGCCCTGCCCGCTGCTGAGGGGCAGCACAGGGAGCTTGAGCTGCTCGGTGCTGATGCCGGCTGTGGGGAGCAGCTGGCTGGCACCTTCCTCCAGCTCTCAGGACTTGCCGGCAGGCAGACAGGCAGAAGAAAGACGCCTTTGCCACGAGGGCTCATGTCGCGGGGGTTGGGCCGCGTGGTCCTGTGGAAGCGGGCAGAGCCATTCCCAGCTGTTTCTTTGTACTTGGTGTCCGAAATCAAGGCCTCTCCCCGCCGTGTGTCCCCAGGGTGGGCAGATCCTGCCAGCCCGCATACCAGGCCTCCCTTCAGCTCTCGGGCTGGCTGAGGGTAAGAACAGCAAGGCGGGGGCTTGGGGTGTGCCTCAGGCCCAGGTCCCTCTCAGACAGACCCCGGCAGGGGCTCCTGCCAAGTAATTGCCATCAGCTTTGCTAGGACATCACTGCAAAGGTTCGTGTCCTCTGCTTGCCAGAACAGGGGGGTCTTCCAGGAACTCAGGGAAAATGGGATTCAAAGATAAGTTTATGTTGATGCAGAAAAGTCAAAGTTGATATGTCAGAAAGATATTCAGAAAGTCTATGGGAATGTGTGTCATGAAAGAACCATGCATGAATTTCAGAAGTTGTGTATTAAGAGCTTTCAATTCCATTGTCTTTAAACTTTTTGGGGACCCTCATTTCAAAAAAAAGGGGGTGGGTTTAATTGAAAGGCAGAATTACAGAGCGGGAGAAGAGGGAAAGTTAGTTTTGCTCTGCTGGTTCACTTCCCAGATGTGCAAGCAGCCAAGGCTAGGGCATCCCAAACCAGGAGCCAGGAGCCTCCTCCAGGTCTCCCATGTGGGTGCAGGTTCCCAAGCACTTGAGCCACTCTGCTGCCCTTCTCACACCATCAGCAGCGAGCGGGATCAGAGGCAGAGCAGTGCCCACAGGGGTTGCCAGCATTGCCAGCAGCAGCTTAACTGGCTGCACAGCGCCAGCCCCAATCCTTCACTTATGTACCTCTGGTGTTCCCTAAAAGGATGAGGGTATTTCCAAAACTTCACAGAAAACAGCACTGAAAAGGATTTATTTTGGTGTGATGCTTGTTGGAGACGTGTTTTGTCGTGAAGAACTTCATGAGAGACTGGTGCAATGGCTCAACTGGCTAATCCTCTGCCTGCAAGCACGGACGTCCCGTCCATGCCCCACTTCATATCCTGGCCGCTCCACTTCCCACCCAGCTCCCTGCTTGTGGCCTGGAAAAGCAATAGAGGACGGCCCAAAGCTTTAGGATCCTGCACCTGCGTGGGAGACCCAGAGGCAGCTCCTGGCAAATCTTTTTTTAAAAAAGTTTTTTCATGGAAAGTGCATGTTGTGAATAAATGATGATTTCAAGTTTTTGTTTGTTTGTTTGCCAACCAATGCCCTCCATCCCCCTTGTACAGGAATACTCTAGCATGCTCCCATGCGTGTGCCAGGGTTCCAAGCTTCCCTCTCTGTGACAACTGTGCGTCACCGGAAGCGGCGTCCCAGGAAAGTGGCCGTTCCCCCAGCAGCACAGT